GGCCTAATGAAAGCTTTTAAAGAAACTTTCCCATTGCCAAGTGGTTATAGTTTTCCCCCTGGCAAATTTGAGCATAGGTGCCAGACCAGAAACTGCTCTTATCTGCAATACCGGTTTCCCCAATGCTGTGAAAGAACATTGTTCAGTTAATGAACTTCTTTTATAAAAGAATATATTTCATATTGATGCTAAAAAGGAAAAAATAAAAGGGAATACTTTTAAAATTCAGGAGCCACCCGCTGACCTTACGATGGCGTATTTGAGTCGCCTCAGGAAGCTACCATTAGTGGGACATGTGCACATTTTGGAGAGCAGATAAGCACAATTGGGTTCTTCAGTTTACAGGGGCGAGGAGATAGGGCCGTTTCTGGCCTGCATACAGGAGGAGAGGAAGTGAGATACTGCTGCTGCCTCTGATGGGCTCAAGTGCCAGAGAGCCCGTGTGCAGACTGCAAACATCTCCCTCAAATGGAGCCTGCAGAACTGTGGCCACAGCTCAGTTGAAGGCGGCATTTCCAACATACATTAAGATCTTTGCTCAGTTCTTACTGGGCAATATCCAAAGTCCAATCATTCTGGTTCTGCTTGCTGTTATTGTGTCCAACACCGCAATGTCAGGAACACGTGGGGGGAAAAGAAATAAAGAGTGTTTACTTATTTGTTCACTTCTTTACATTTTTGCAAAACTAAAACCTTACAAAAGCAACTTAGAAAGGTAATGTCCATCCATAAGCATAAAATGGAGCCTGAGGGTTACAGATGACTGCTACCTCTTTCTGAATTACAAATATTTCTCATAATTTTCATACGGATGTCACTCTTTCAAAAACTTTCTTTTTTTACAGTCCAAGTTTCAACAATATTTCTGCTTAGTTTATACCTATTCACAAGTTTAGCTATTACTTAGCAAAGCATTCTAAAACCTCCTGCTAAGTGTTCACCAGTACTGGTAGCTTCCAGTGATGCCCTCTGTGCCAGTCCTTCCCGCAGTACAAATGCAGAAATCTTGCACTCTGAACCACACATTCATGACTACTTTTCCCAGCCAGAGCCCCACTGAGTTGAGACCAAATTTGCTAAGCACATCAACCCACACTTAATTTTAATCTCCATTCCTGAAGCATGTATTTAAAGTTAAAAGTTTTGCTGAATAGAGATTGCCTTGAGCAGGTCTTCAATGCTTTGCTGAATCAATTCGCAAATGCAGATTAAGTTGGAAAGCTAATTTTTATTACAAGGAAGCTGAATACAATCTTAGAGGAATCTACTTTTTAAGGTCAGATTTTAGGCCCTGATATACACTCTGATATCTGTAATATCTCAGAAAAAGTATGAGGACATACAACAAACAAATACACATCTGTGGGCCACTCCTGGTTACTAGACAGGCTATCAGTTTTGTATCAGATATGTATGTGACCTAGTTGAGCTTCCTATGTGGAAGGCTATGGTTTAAGAAGTAAAGTCCCTGAATTCTGCTCTTTACACAGACTGCACAGAAAACAGTGCTTGTGCATAGGGGCTCTGATGGATCATTACACGTTTTCAACAATAATAGCAGACTTTTTAAAAAGGTTTGTACATTCCAACACCTACCTGAAAGTAAAATCAGGCCATTAGATTAAATTCAGGACTTTCCCATTGTCAGCCACAAAATAGAGTAAGTTTTTCTGTGATTTTGACTCACTGGAGTAGCTGCTGCCTTAATGAGTCAAGTCAAAGTCAAGGTGGGATTCAAAATTTACACAGAGGCATTCAGCATGTAAGCCCTGCAACAGAAAAAAAAATATACATCAGCTTTGCAGGAGACTCTTGTAATGTAGCACAACGTCTCCTAGGTCAAAGACTGGTATTCCCTCCTGCCTACCACATATATGTTAAATGCACGTTATCTCCCATCCTCTGAGCACAAATGCAGAGGCAAAATCACCTCTCCTTCTGTCAGCTTTGACTGGGCAATGAAACCAGCTATTACCTCTCTCGGCCTCCTCGGAGAGCAATGTTCAGATGTCTTTTCTCCAAAGTACTATATCAGTTACAATTACTGGCCCTCGCTCCTTGCTAGGTCTATTACACCTGATTCTGTAAGTATGTTCACAAAAATTGCTTTCCATCCCAGGTCAGGACTCAATGCATATCTGGGCGACCTATAAAAGGAATAGAGCGATCAGACATCACATCACTCCGAAGCAACCCCAGAAAACCAGCCGGATTTACAGGGATGACAATGGGCTTTGAACCTGGTAATTACCAGCTACTCTTGATGACTGCACACAGGAAAACCCACAGCCTCTCCTCTTCATGGAGGTGCAGATGTAAACCCTTCATTACTGTTCCTGCTATATAAATTTAAAGTTGTTGGGTTTTTTCCCATTCATTTAACCTTTGCAATGGCAAAGAAATTCAATCTTAAAATCAGCTTCAATTATATTTTTTTCTTGATGGTTGTAATGATGTCTCCTGAGTGACATCTTTACTTCTTTAAAAGGCAAAAGAGCTTTCAAAAGCAGGTTTTAAAATGCTAGTTCTGGCCTATAAAAGTATTGTTCTCTAAAGAAAATATAGAGAAAGAAATGAGACAGAAGAAGGTATGTCTAGAAGGAAAACAAAGATGGAAAGGATTTTCAGGAACCCAGTTAAGACACAGAGCATTATAAAGATCACAGATAGCACAGCGACCTGAGAGGACTACATGACTTGGGCAGACCCCTTTCAGGTCTAAGTTGCCTTTAGTGTCCAGGATAAGGTTCATAAGACATAAAGCTATCTTACCTCTTGTCCCACATGAAGGGATTTTTGGATGTATGTGTCTGTATGGAGGTACTTATAAAAGCATTAGATTTCACACTATATTTACGAGTATAATAACTATATTTTTGAAGACACTGAAGCACACCACTCACTATTTAGAAAATAAGAATCCAAATACTCTTAAAAGTCTAGCTCTTAAAAGTCTAACCAGAAATCTGGTCTGATTCAAAAATTAGATAAAAGCAATTTCAGTCTTTGTGTGTGTGTGTGTTCACCATCAATATATCTTTTCATATATTGGTCAGATTTAGACTGTAAGCGCTACTGTGCAGGGAATACATTTTTACATTTGTAGAGTGTCCCATAAATTTACGGCAATAGATGCGTTTTTATAATAATAAATAAGGAAAAAAAGTCAATGATTCAATGAAATGATATTTTCCTCACACTAGCATGCGATATTAATGCCTTAAGCAATAACCGTTTCTGGCTACAACAATATCAGAGCCTCAGAAAGATCCTGGAAATTGTGCTCATGTGCCAGTAGAGCGTTTGCATTTAGGATTCTGGAAAGTAATTGAATTGTGATAAAGCATTGCAATACAAGCTGTTTCCTGGCCCTTTGCTGACATAAAGGCACTCTGCCTATCAGTGAATTTAAGGCAATTTTTCACATGCCTAAATCATTCCAAATATAATACCATTTCACCAAATGAATAGAATATGTTTAAGTGGCATGCCCTCAGCTTTTGTTTCATTATTAATTTATTTGAAAACTAATGCGACTGCTGCTCTTCGCAGGATATAGGCTTTGTGTCCTCCTCAGCTTTTCCCTGCAGAACACAGCAGTGTGGTTTCAGGCATACAGTTTGCTCTAGTGGTATGCATGCAAAATGAATGCAAAACATGCAGCCAAGAGAAGCCGTGGAAGATTTGGAAAGCAGAGCAGAAAAGATCACTTTGCTTTTAAGCCATTACCTTTAAATTTCCTTCTATTCAATATTACCAATTCTTTATGTAAGTGTCTCTATTGAGCAAAAAAAAAAAAAAAAGTACACACCTTTTTCCTTGTCATAGGAAAATGTTACTAAGCAAGAGATTCCAGGATGTTTAGCTCCTGTTTGAGGCCTTAGGAATTAATTGTTTTTTCCACCTATTACCACAGGACAAGATCACTAAATAATTGGAGGCTAAATAGTTACAAACCTTCACAATTAAGGAAAAATACGGACACAAGCAGAAAGTGCCTTTGGCACAGCTCTGGCTACTTAGCAAGTATAGCCAAGGTATTCCTGATCATAAGAGCAATGATTTTAAAAGGTGGTCTCATAAAACAGATCACAAAATTAATCCATTTAAACACAAATTGAGTTTCTGGATTAAGGCACTCTGCTCAAGCAGCGAGAACATTCATTAAATTGTGCATCCCATCTCTATTGCCTACATGTAGCATTGATAGTCACATTGTAAATCTGATTCTCCAATATTCTTGGGATGCAACATATTGCTTTTTTTTTCACCATTTCCTCTACATGTAAACCGATCTCCTGCATTGAGGCAGTACTATTTAAAACAAAAGGGTTTGATTTATAGCCAGTCCCCAGCCTCATAAATCACACCTGCAGTGTGGTGCTCTGAGCTCCCTGTGTTCTGCCAGCATTTACCTTTTATAAATGATTTGGGTTTACCTCCCATTGTGATGGAGCCTAATACAATTGCATTCTTCTCTCCCAGCATTCATTCTTGCTCTTGCTCATTATTCCCACTGGGAATTCAGACCTAGTTTTTGCAAGCTTGTCATGGGGGAAGGGATCATTGGTGGTGTTTTTCTTTTTTTAAATTAAGGAATGTTGAATTAAAAATTTATGTTTCCAATCCTGTAGCTTTTCCTACCTCTAGACAAACAATGCAGTGGAATTTCTTCCTCCCCATTGACAATGCTTACATTAAAGTTCCTATTTGTTAAAGTAATGATTTGGAACTTAAACAGGACAGCAGCTTGAAATGGTCAAAACGCAGAGTATTTGACCTTCAAGGTAACCCACGTATGCTCATCCACCATTATACAACCTGGATAAGGACCTGAAGTTTTAATTAAAAAAAAAAAAAAAAAAAAAGAAAGAAAGAAAAAGAAACATCAGAAATAATGATTTATTCTTGTTAAGTGACTAAGTCCAAGGATTTTTCCTGTTAATTCTCAGAATTCAGGCTAGCAAGTGGCCAAATACTGTTTACATAATATTTTGCAATTGTGTCTCGAGTCCTCAATCTTATTACAGTTCTAGTTTGCTAAGAGCAGTTCAAACACAGGGAGATTCAAGTCTTGTTCCTTAGAACTAACAATCTCAAATCCTTGACTCACATAATCTCTAAATTGTAGTACCATTTAACAGAGATTAACAGAACTTGTATACATGCCCACTTGTCCTAAGTACCAAACAATAATTAATTTGTTCAATTAGAGACCAACACAATTGTCATATTCATTTTAAAGAGTATTGCAGCTGCTTTGCCCAAGTCCAACAAAAGAATTTATCATGGTTTGAGATTTATCATAATCACAAAATCTAAATTATATTTGTCTCACACATTCATCACAGCTCAGATTAAGTTTTGGAGTTCAGTCTTGCAAGCTTCTAATGCTGAGTTTTTATTTGATGAGACAGTGGCAAATTTCAGAATTGAGATTTGGAAGTCTATAATATGTGTCAACTAAGGTCTGAATCAGACCTAAAGTACTTGGAAAAATATTTCTCAAATGAGTGTCTGGTAGTTATTCAGAAAAGCTAGTCCTTTTCCAGCCTAACTCATAGGTGGGCTGGGATAAGTGGGCCTGTTCCAGTTCAGTGAAGGATTAAGCTAAACACCACTATTTTCAAAGTATATTAGGTGAAACAAGAAGACATTTTGTTTCCAGAATTAGAACTATCCATACATGGACTTAGCAATAACTTTTGCACACCTTACTTTCATCCAAATAATCTTCCAAATGAAGTCATCAAGGTTTGAATTATTTTGTCCCTTCTTTTAAAATCCACATAAAAGTATTTGTTAGACAAAAGTAGGCTTTTCCTGTTCATAGTGAGCATAATCAGTTGTGACAATAAAAACTAGGATTCCAGTAGGTGCTGGAAACTTTGTGAAGCCAAATTTTCTTAACAAGTGTTTTAATTGTCCAATAGTTCAATACCAGACTTTTTTTATCTGAGAAAAACAAATATCTATAAACTGGGTCGTAATTACTAAGAGGCAAATACCAGATTTTTAACATGACAATTGTTACGTCAAAATTAAGTTTATTGGGTTTAAATGCAGATTTAATGGAATCATGAGCAGAGATAGTAGTTCTATAAATAGCTTCCGTCTGACATTATTTTACTGCAAGACAAGGTTGCAAAATCACTACATTAACGTCCTCCTTCACTGAAGTTATTGTTTGCTGCATTTTTTCTTAAATTTAATTGCAGTGGAGTGCAATTTGTGCAAATCCTGGTGCTTTAAATTACAATTTTCTGTCCAAGCTTGTGCTGCTCCAAGAGCAAACCTGCAAAGGTTACAAGTCTTCTGATTTGTTTTATGAGAAATCTTTGCATACTGAGCCTCTCATGGAAAGATGTCCAGGATTATGAGTTCCATTTTGAAGTACCTTCACATGCATGAGGTCCATCCAAATATCAGGGAGTTTTGTTGCAGGTTTGGTCCAGCAGTATTTCAAGCCCTTTTTCTCCAAGTGCACGTAAAGCAGCACAGCCATAACATATAGGGTATCTTTACATGTGGTTTTTAATAACCACCCTAGCATCTTGCCATTTACTCCTTAAGAAGAGGAATTGACAGAAGATCCTATAAAAATAAATTTGAAACAAAGGAGTATTAATTAAAAATGAAAAAAAAAAAAGGAAAAAAATTAGTTGAATGTATAAAGCCAACTTCTCTATCGAAGTAGTCATTTGGCTAACTTTGAAGCTTGATTTAAATATTAGCAAATGTGCAAGATTTATTGCTGTCTTTACACAAAGCAAAAAGGCATTCAGTGTGGCCCAATGTCCTCAATGAACAAAACTCATTTCAGTAAATGTAGATATGTTTCAGTTAACGGCTTTCTTTATAATGTGATGCAGCAATTATAAGTTATATATGGAACACTAATAAACCCATCCAATCACTTCAGATACTGGCATGGCCAAATTAAAGGGGACTACTAAACTTATGCCTGCTAAATTTGCATTTGCATACACAATGCTGATAGCTGAAAACGTGCAGCACCATTTCCATATGCAGATTTGACTTCTGCATGGACAGTGCGAAAGATTGTTATCTAGAACTCAACTGGATATTTGGCTTTCTGTGATTTCTTGTGCATTAGTATTTTCATCATGGTCCACCTAGCTGACTTCTGAGCTCACATTAATATACCAGCAATCACTGTTACTGGAATTTAAATGCCTGCCCCCAACGCCCATGGAATAGATGTAAAACTTTGAAAATATTTTTAAATACCCAGACCTAGAGAAAAGGAGGAGCAGCTATTTCCCATCTCCTATAGTTCAGCCACCCCTAGGAGAAATCAAGAAAGAAAAATCAACCAAGAAACTTGAAAAATAAATGTCTGATAGAACCATCAATATGCAATAATAATCTATAAATAGGGTTTTCCTGACAGTAAATGACTATCTGGAGGAACTACTAATTCAGAGAAAATTCCAAGAGTGCAATCTGATCCTGAAAACCATTTAGTCACATTACCAGGCCTTACAATATTCTAACAGAGTAATTCTCACTTGTGAATACCCAATTTTACTCATAAAAGTAACATTCTGTGCAAATATATAAAGACTATAACATACCTATTGTTCCAGAGCCATATTAATAAAGTAGCATTTTTAGATCATTTGATAAAGCCTTATGAGCTGAAAATTTTGAAGACCAGTTACATGCTGCCATGGTCCCAGTAACAGTCTTGCTTTAGCACAGTACCCAGCAGGGAAACAGGACTTGCTCTCAACATTTCAGTAGCGTTATCACCTTCATTAGCTAAGTTTTTCTCCAGTAGAAACCAATGGAATACATTTTTTTTAATTTATTTATTCTGAGAAAGAAAAAAATCTTGTTTCTTGGTCCTGCAGTTGATCCCAACACTATGTAAATATGAAGAGCATGAATTGTGCTTTTTCTTCTTACTTTAAACACCCAGCCACCTTTCTCTCTCTGTTATGGATTATTAAGGAGTTGCAAACTACTCATCATCCCAAATCAGCTGTGCAGTAGTAAATATCATCACTGATCTCCCAGAGATGGATTTTTTTTATTTATACACAGAATCATGTTTTCTAGATGAATTCTTACAATGATGAAACTGATTATCAATGCAAATAACAATCAAATATCTCTGCTGCAAGAGAAATGAGTTGCTCTCCGATGTTTCAGCTATGCCATCTTATCGAATTGCATATGCAGGGGAATAATTTTCTCATGCTACAAGTTGTTCCACTTTCTTGATCCTTGATGAAGGTGATCAGTATGCTCCACAGGATCGCGTCTTAAAGGTATTATTAAGTAAAGTACTTGACAAAGAGAGAGCAATCACAGAAGAAAGAGCCTATAGAAAAAAATAATTTTCTTTAGATGCAAATGAGGTGCCAAAGGGTAATACATTTCTCAAAGGGTCAGTAATGGAACACACAGCTTTTCCCCTCTGGGTCACTAGTTCAGATACAGCTCAGGTTGTCAGTGATCACAAGTGGTACATCTACAAACACTAGAAGTCTGCAAAAATCCCAGAGGCTGAGTGATTATTTACAGCAGCACAAGAGAGTGAAAGGAGGAGAAATACAGTGAGAATAATGTTAGCTTTCAAAATAACGTGAAGACACATCTCTAGAATAGGATTTCTCTTCAGCAGTATTCTATCTTCAGGGTGAGGTGGACCAGTGACCTAAAAGCTGTTTTCTACAACATGTTTTCAGGTCTAATGGGCCTAGTGCTGTACTCGGGTCAAATGAAACTTGTCCTAAACTGACTTGTAAGAGTGTTGCTCTTCTTCAGTGTTCATCAAGATTCCTCTCTATTGCCTCTTCCTTAATGAATTAACCATTTACATTGAGTAGGTTCAGAATGGCCAGCAAGGTGCATTATTAAGTTCTTTTAATTAAAATATGATTATAAAGTTCAATATTCAAAATGCCATCAATATGTTCACTATTTTTAAGTTATTTCAAATGACACTCATTCTCAGTGACTGTAAAGCTTGCCTGTACATCATGTACTAGCATTAACAGCACTGTTTTTCATGTCATTTTTTTTCCCTTCGACTTACCTGGAGCCTCTTCAGCCCTGCAGCCATGTCATCCTATCTACTAATTAGTACATTGGATTCTGATACTGTCTGGGCTTTCTGGGCACTGCTGCAGAACAAATTGCCATCGTGATCAATATTCAGGGACCTGTGACACTGCAGGATGCGAGCTTGGCTCAGTGACTCCATTAGTGCCATCAATACGTATCCAATGGGCGCATGTGATGTAGTATCAGCCACTTCAGAGAAAAAATCATTGACTGGCTTAGAGCAAATACATGGAATCGACAATTAAATGAACTAACAGTTTCAATTCACTTGCCATGATCAATTCGAGCTACAGTGCAGTCAAGCAAGCAAAGGGTAGGAGCACCATGACCAAGCCTGATCCGCAGCTCCCACTTCGTGGCCCTCAATCTTACAATATAGAAATTTTTATCAAGGGCAAATAAGACATCCTACAAATCTGTTTTCACAGTTAGAGATGTTATTTCAGACAGAAAAAGATTTTCGCCAAGAAAACTAGGGATCAAGGGGAACAGCTACCGAGTATATTGCAGATCTTGTTTACAGTGGGCAGCAGAAAAAAAAAAACGCTCACTAATCTAAAAGCACCTAAAAACAAATCTACCAAATATTTCCAGATTTCACACCTGTATCTAATTATCTGCTACCTTACACTTTGGGTACTTAAATGTGTGCAAAGACAACACAGTCCCTGTGAATTAGCAGCCCCCATGGACCCCAGTAGAGAGCAGGTCCTCAGCATGCCAGGATCAGCAGCTCTGTGCTATTACATGAAGTAAAACTTACAATGTCTGCAGTACAGCCCCTTTTCCCCCACTACTGTTTCTCTTACTCCTAGGTACAAAAATTATTTATTTACTTTTCAATCCTTAGCCTTTCTAAAAAGGATACATCACCATTTAAAATTGGAAAAGAAAAAAAAAAAAAAAAAAGTCAATAAAAAATCGTATGCCGAAAAGAAAAAAAAAAAAAAAAAAAAAAAGTAAATCACCTTGAAATGGCTGCGAAATTCCTGAAATTTTTTCATTGGAGATGCTGTTTCCTTTTAACACAGATGGGGCAGAGCTGAGGATACTCCTTGGAGATTCAGTAGATATTTTCAGCAGTGACAAGTGCCCATCCCAAATATAACTTCTAATCTGTCTATCCCTTCTTGAATGCTAGAGTAGAGCACTTTCATAACACAGGAGAAGTTGAATACCACCTGAATGACTTTCTGAGAGATGCTTACTAATACCACAGTTGCTACCACTAAAAGGGACTGCGCACTACTTTTTATCTGGCAGGGATGTAAAGATCTATTAGGAGAGATAAATATAGCATCCTGAAATTGCAAATCAACACTAATGAAGAGATAGGATTCACCCAGAGTGCAACAGAGATTTTCTACAAAGCAGAAAGTACTGGAATCCTAAAGAACCAGTTATCAACTTTGAAAACAAAGTGCCAGTAGTGGTTCTATATAACAGTATCAGTGTAAATTCTCTCTGGAGTTGTCTTATTTTCTTTTCCTCCTGTAATTGATATTTTGTAGGCAAGTTGGACAGCTTCCTCCTCTTGGTCTTGTGACCAAATGCATATAGGATCTTGAAAGATGCAATGTCTGCTCAATTTTGGCAAAGTCATGCCTATCATTAAAATAGTACGATTTTTCCCAATTATTGTCTGCATCCTGATAAAATCTTACACCAAGACACTCAAGTTTAGAGACAGTTTTCATGGAGGTCACGTTATTTTTTCTCAGATTGCAAGATTATCCCAAAGAAAAGAAACAATTAAGGTGCATTGTTTGATCGTGATCATTCATTCAAATTAAATGTGTCGTTACAGAATGCATTCCTCTTGCATTCTGAATGCCCCAACTTTATACAATATTGTGTCCTCTCTTTCCAACAATTAGCATGCAAAGTTTAAAACTTTCCTCTCCTATTAGAAAAAATATATACTTATACACTTGCTAGAAGCATTTTTAATGGATATTTTTTTCCAAAGACCGGGAGGTCTTAGGTTAAAACATAGGATACAAAAGGGCTGGAGATTTTATGCAGTTCTCTTGTGAAACAAGAGATATTAGGCTCTGACACCAAAATCCAACCTAAGTTTTCAGACCAGCAGTATAGCTGGCATCTGAGGGGGTTATTTCTCTTCCCTGAGGAGTATCCCTGCATCTGCAAGGTACTAACAACAAGGAGGAGGAGTCTGCATATCCATACATCCATCCCAGCAACTTTTCATAGGCCTATCCTTACTGACAAGGGTACATCACCCTTTAAAACTGTGAACAACTGTGTTAATACACATCCCTACCTCAATACCTCATCGCAGTGCAAGTGTCAGGGTGCTAGTGCCCTAAGCAGAGGCACTATGAGGACAGTGCCCACCTAGACTATAAAAGAGGTTTGAAGAACATCTTGCTGACATATAGGCATCTATAAGGAAACAACAGAAAACAGTAGTGTCAGTCTGCTATTAAAAATCACAAGACATTTGCTATTCATCTTTTTTTTGGAGGAGGGTACTGTATCAGCAAAGATCCAGTGCTTTGTGTTGGCTTATGAGATCTCCTGGTGATATGACATGCACCATATATGACAAAACACTATAATTTCAGGTTATTATTCATATGAAAGCATTAAACTGTTTAATAAAAAGCACAGCATCATAAATATTCCTGAATCCATTACATTTACCTTCTGCCACTGTACTTGATATGACTAAAAATTACACAATTCAAAACTGGTTAAAATAATTTATATGCCAAATATTGTAATTGTGGAAGTCCATGCAATTATAATGTACTGAAAAAATACTCATATCACATTGCATTTGGCTGGATTATTGGGTGATAGGAAAACACTGTAAAGACAGATTTTAAGAACAATCTTGTCTTGAGCTGAATGGCTGCAATATCCAATTTCACTACATTGTTTAAGACAGCAAGTACACGCTCTCTTTCTACTTTTTAAATTACTAGTATTTTACATGCACTTAGCTGTCCTCTGTTAAATAATGCCATATAACTAGTGACCCAAAAAAGCAATTGATCAGCTAAACAACATGGAAAGATTTAGTATCTGAGCACAACATAGCAGCCTTTCGGCAGTCTATGTACCTAATAACAAATACCTTCAGTGCCATTCAGAAAAATGGGTTTCCAAAGGAAATTAATTAGAATGACTTTAGCTACTTTCATTGTAGCATTGCAGCTTGTGCCAAACTGTGCTGGGTAACCAGTTCTATTCCTCTTGCTTCCTGGGGGCAGAGAGGAGGTGCAGGAGGATTATGCACGCTATATTCTTCACACATTTTTTATTTCTTTCTCAGTTGATTGTAGCCTTGACTTCACTGGGACTATTGACCAAAAAGGAGACAACAGAACTTTGTGGGTGAGCAAATCAAAAGGCAGGTCATTCCCTGACTGCCAGGCTTTACAGATAGTATATATGTGTATATATATATTATATATGTAAAACTTTTTCAAAGTCTAGGTGACACACTCTTTGGTTTAAAAAGCTGAAGGGGGTAAACAGTTGAAAGCCAATTACCAGTGTCTGCCTTCCTTCCATCTTCACATGTGCTCCTTGAATTGGGGGTTTTCAGTGAAACTGCCCCCTGCACACTCAGGAGTTAACCCCCTGAGCGTCAAACAGTTCTTCCTACTCCGTGCTTGAGGAACTATCCATTCTTAAAAACCTGCATGCAACCCACCAGAGACATCAAAGACAACATTTCAAAGAATAAGATGGGGCAATAGATCTAATATAATTCTTCAAGTCTTTGAATGAGACAACCCCATGAGACATGATCCAGGAGTCCACAATCCAACTGTGAGACAACAGGTAACAGACCACAAAACACAACCAAGCTTGGGCACTAGTCAGAGGGGGACAGGTATAAGAAAACAAAAAGAATCAGAGTTTTGCCATGGATAATCATAGGGTGCATATGCATATTATGTCCAATTATTTTACTCATTTAATTCTGTTCTTATGAGTTTTGTGATACTCGAGTTGCCTTTTACTAGAAGCTCAACATGTTGTTCTCTTTGTGTCCTCCTATCCCAACTAGGGATCTTTCAAGGAAAACCAGGAATAATGCATCTTGCTGTCTGTTTTAATCTGTTCCAGTTAGCTCTGGTCATCTATCCTGTGATACCACTATGTAAGCAGTACTTGTAGAATTCTTGTAGAATACTCTTGTAGAATACTGCTTAGCATATTTCACACATCAGGATTTTACCAACTTGAGAAACAAATGCAGGCAAGGGATACAATGGTAGATTAGAGGCAAGAGGTCCTAAAGCAAATTCAGCTAAGGCATAGCCACAAGTGAAAGAAGATGAGTGATGAAGTGTAGAAAATGGACCTGGAAGATCAATATCTGTCTCCTCAGAGATAAGTACGCTATAAATAAATAACAGTGAAACTAACAAAATCATCTGGAAAGATCCAAAAACTTTTTATTACAGAATTCTGGGGACAGGACTTCTACTTTTTGGGTTCCACTTCCCCTCTTGTAAAATATCAGTTTAATGCTTTTGGAAAGATTTTGCCCTTTTTTTTTTTCCAGACATATCATCAAAACTTATTACTGTAATACTTGCTATCGTTCATTTACTGGAGAAAACTCATTAAACACATGTCACTTCCAAACTGTGTGACATAACGTGAAATTAAAATGTCTGTAGGCGTTTTTGTGTTTTTAGGGCTTAATAAGGTAGAGAGCTTAGCAAAAGTAGATGATATAGTATAGTACAGGGCATAGAGCTTAGGGCATGGCGCTCGGAAGATCTCGCGATGTCACGGGAGTTAGGAGCATAATTAATTTATGCAGTTTACTGATAACCCCATGCCATACAAGGCGAAAAGTAGAAATTAGTCTCCCGATTGGGCAGTAGGTGAGTTTCCGCATTCAGCTGGAGTATATAGGCAGACTGAACTGCGCAATAATCGCCATTTTGCCGCATCCCCCATAGTGATATCTGTGCTCCAGGGCCCTGGGGTGAGGACAACCCCAGGTCAGTCCAGCTAGCGAACAAGGCTTGCCGACCCCCATCGGCAACAAATGTCCTTTATTTTGGCACACTCAGTACTGAGTATTACTCAGTAATACACTCAATATCACTGAGTCCTAAGTATTATTTGTTTATAAATGCCAATCAGGCTACTACTATAGCTCTAATGTACTCACAGATTGTGCAGCCTATGACCAACTGTAGAACTTCAAATACTGAAGTCGCTGTAGGGAAGAACCACAGCTACTGTACAAAACCAAACTGGTTTATCTTCTTAGGCAAAAGCTGAAGAATCTATTAAATGGAAAGAAGAATTTGCTATTGAAAAGAAATTTTTAAAAATCCCTTGATACAAAGAATTCATTTATGTTGAGAAGCCGACCAAACAAAAATGGAGGAAACATTGGTATATTATTTCCTTTTGTCAGATGCTACTTCAGTATTTAGGATCTTGACCTGAACTTGCATCTTGGATCTAGGCTACTTACAGATGGTTCTCACATTAAAACCATAAGAGTGGCAGCTGAATAAGTGAGCCATAGTCATGTTTAGCTTTAAAACACAAGGGTATCTAATTCTAAGACTTTCAAATGCACATGACTGCATCATAAAAAGCCACAGGCTACAGCATGGAGCTTCAAAGCACTACCACAGAGTGCACAGATGTGTATGTCAAGCTTCTTACACCCACCGTCCCACTTTCAGCATTCAGGATAGCCGAACAAGAGTCAAATTTCCACCCATTTCCTGAGGTTGCTTAACAGATTTGGACAGCATCAAATGGATGCTGTGGATCACTAAGTTTCTGTACCCTGGACCTTTTAACACACATTCAACCGTCCCCTCTCTCATCAGGGGACTCCTCCTGAAGAGGTGCCGAGCTTCAATACAAAGACATGACTGATTCTTATATCTGTTCCAACAAGAGACTCCATGGCTATAGCAAATGCAGTATTTCACTGTGTCCAACTGAGGTCCTTCTCCTGAGGCCGAACAACACAAAAGACAGTTTGTAATAGCTCCCTTTGAAATCAAATTAGTAATGTTTCAAGGCGTGACCCGTAAAGGGCTGCTGTCCAGAACCTACATGTGTTTGACAGCTACGTCTTCCACCTAACTGGCCTCCTCGAGAATCCAGATGGGATCAAGATGTGTGAACAGAACTCCCAAAAGAGAGCCATGGGATACCCGGATTCGTAGTAAAGCACTCTATCTCATCAGATAAAAAAGAAGCAATATCAGATACAGTGTGAAGTAGTTCACTCCAGCTGGTAGGCCACATTCTGACACCATTATATAAGTTAGATTGATGCAGAAGATGTTGTTCCATATGTGCAAAAGCTAGCGAAGTAGAGCCCAAAGTAAATTACATAAATCTGTGCCAACTCCTTATAAAGATGTCACAATGTCTTTTTCATATGCATCCATACACAGTAGAACACTAAAAGCTACTGTGGGCTATAGGCTGGTAAATAAAGGCACTCTGAAAGACTAAAGCCTTTAGACAGCAACTTATTTTCACCTAGCTGGCTAGTCATTTGTTAGCTGAAGGACAAAGCAGGAACTTGCACAATGCACGCTTGGTTTCAAAGGGCTAATAAAGATCAAGGGATGACATTCCTGAGATATGCACTGTTGTATCTCATGGCAGAGAGATTGGGTCTTGATGGTAAAACCGAAAAGTTATAAAAGATGACTATGTCTCAAGTTTGCCATGATATGCTTGCTTATCTGACAGAGAAGTAACCACCTCATTGTCCTGCCGAATGAATTGCTCTTTCCACAAAAACCTTGGAGAAGGTATATGATAACTCCTGCCCGGGGTGTGTGAAAATGGAAAAACATTTGGTAGTTAGCCTTTCCAAACACCCAAAGGCCTCATTTGGCTGTAGAGAGAATTAATTTAAAGCAGGGCAACTTCTTAACGTAGGCCAGGCCTCAGCTCCATAATTCATTTTCACATTTGGCTTTAGACATGAAAAAAAAAAATCATTCTAATACATCAAAAATCTCTATAGCAGCCAAATAAAATGAAACACCTGCTGGCACGAACTCAACCAGCTACTTCTTGTTGCTAGTGTCTCGTGCCTGATAAAGATTACAACCAGAAAAGAAATAATGCTTTTTACAAGACGAAACAGAGTCTAAGGCAAGATCCAACAGAGACTACTCTGAAGCCTGCCCTATATGTCAGAACTAGCCATTTCTTTAAAAAGAGCTAAATATTTTATGCTTCACCTAGGAGTTAAATATCACTGACAAAGGCTTGCGATTGACAAGGGTGGAGTTCACTTATGGTATACTGAACTTAAATAAGACTTCCAGTGGTTCACTTCTTCAATAACCTTCATGTCCTGCCTGGGCTAGCAATAGGAGCTGCAATTGTTTGGGGTAAGGGAACAAATTTCTGCCTTCTCGCAAAGCTGGGAGAGAAGCACACTATATACATATACATATAGAATAAATGTAAAGGGATGTTCTTAAATGTTCTTAAAAGTCTAAATGATGATTTTCCTCCTCTCAAATCATTATGTAATTTATTAAGATTTTTAGGATCATTGAATTACTTAAGCATTCTATGATATCTATGGGGTTTTATGATTTTCATACTGGTTTTCCAAGATGTTACTTTAATGATCAGAGCACTACAAGATGACTTGACAGTGCCATCCTGATAATCCTGGAAAACTTCAGCACTGCAATATATGAATAATACAATGAGCCTCAAACCCTGATATGATGAAACAACCCAAAAGATGTGGAAATTCAGTTCACTCTCCATGTTCATAAAAATGTCCCTCTCTGGATTGCCAAGCCAGTCAGTTGCCAGCCTGACTTTAGTCATTAAACCACTAGAACAGGACTGAGAAAACCAAATTTGAAACTTTTGTCACTAGAATTTTATGGGCAATTGTTTATCAAGAGTCCTAGGGTGGCAGCAGCTCGCTCTCAGGTTACAAACCCAGTTAAACCCAATTCACAGAATCAGAATCACAGATGTTCAAGGTTGGAAGGGACCTTTAGAGATTATCTAGTCCAACCTTCCCACTCAAGCGATTAAGGAGTTAGACAGTAAACAAAGGGTAACCTCATCGTTCTTAACATTGTTTCTATATCAGCAGTAGAGTAACATTCTCCCATTGTGTCTGGAACTCACATTCTCCTTGCAACCTGTAAATAAGCTTAGCCCTAGAAATGGTGCTTTTGGAGTAATGGGTTACAGGAAGCTTTATAAAGACACTTAAAAAACATGATGTATTAAAACAAAGACAAAAGGCTGAAGGCAGTGATCAGCCTGCCTCACCACCTCAAGATGTGGCACACCAGCTGTCACTCAGGTTAGGGAACACGAGCTGACAGACATCTCCCCATTGCTGCTTGTGTACCAAGTCCTATGCCCACCTTTATTTTTCTTGTACTACTACTAGTTAAATCCAGGAGAAGATATGCAGCAAGGAATTAGGAGGCTGTGTTAACATAATTTCTGTCATCCTCATAAGAGCAAGCTTGCATAGACATCTATACTAGTAAGCTGAACATGCCTGAGATGGTTCTTGGGCACAACAGCTACCCTAGCCTATTTTATAAAACCTCTTTACCCTCCAAAACAAGACACTCACCACCCTATTGAGAATAGATCCCTGACTGGAGCTAATTCCTGAACAACACCTATAAATTGTCTTGGAAAATCTTAGCTGGTCCAAGCCAAAGTCAACCAGGGGCAATATAGACAATGAAGTGCTTGAGAACATTTTCTGGTGCTGTGTTGCTTACTAGTATGGACATTACTGTAGAGAACAGAAAAGAAAATCAAAGTCATAAAATATTCAGTGTCTAGGGCTTTTGTTTCCACTGATACTCTTTTTGCTCATTTGCTCTAGGTACAGCACAGGATGTATGTGAGCATATGGAACAGAACCTTCCAAATCCAATAACAAGTGCTTATTAGCAGTGACTTCAGTTCTCTTCCTGATGGACATGCCCCTAAATAATTGTGTTTAGCCATATGCAGCACTAGAGTCAGAATTACCAGCATATATTAGTAAAAATAACTACAGCCCTTCTTGTCAATGTCCCCACCAATGTTCTTTGGTCAAGACAGTCTTCCAACCTGCCCAAATCCTACTGATTTAGAAAATTAATCTATGATCCTATGAGTACCAAGATTGGCTCTAAATGTATTAGCAAGGGCAATTGATAATATTAGAGGAAATACAACAGGTACATATACACAGGTATACACTATCCCTTAAATAAATTATACAATCATTTTAAATCAAGAAGTGTTCAGTCACATTTTGAATCTCCACGGGAAAAGAGAAAAGAGTCTTTCCTAAGCAGCTCCCCAAACTGCTTAGCAGACCTGAAATAAAAACCTAGTCGTCGTTTCACTCTCCTTTGTTGAACAGGTAATGCAGACACTAGAGGTGTAGTTTCAAATCTTTGCTAAGTGGAAAGATCTCAGCCCAGACAAACAAAAATCCTGATCTCTCGCTTGTGTCATCACTTCAGTAGCACTAGCTCCAAGGTGCTCAGACCAAATTTAGCTTTATGGAATAAAACATAACAAGCTGTCAAAATGTGCATAAATAAATTAAAGTCATTATTCTAGCTTAAAGTTCTGGGAACATAAACAATCCTCTTGAAGTTCTCTGTAACATTTTTTGTTGCGAGAGCAAGTCATTAGCATTACATCCTGTATACAGAGAGCTGTAGATGCAGTCTGTCTTAGGGCCTGGCACTGCAGTGCAAAAATCAACAAGGCTTCATTGGAAGAGAAAATAGAAGAGCACAGGGCCAATTCTCTGCCCCTGAGCACAAGTTTTATGGCACAGCCCATGACCATATGGCTAAACCTTCTCCTTCTGCTCATCCCCCGGAAAGGAGGCTTCATCCGCACTTGCCTACCTGGAATAGTCCCTGGCTCATGCCATTACTTGAAGCCCTATCCAGATATCGTTGGGGAAAGTGCTGGCTGGCAGAAGCAAAAGCACATCATGGAACATGCTAACAGTTAAACGCTACAGATTGCTACATACCACTGCACAAAACGGTGTCCTGACCCTGCTCCATTTACTCACATAGATAAAATCTGGGTGTTCTGTGAGGATATTAGCCTACAACATGTTTACCAGTACTTTGCCTCGAGCAATAACGCAGCACAAACTTAGGAAACAGCACAAGACCAGGCCAGCCTCCAGGGGCGATTCCTCGCTGAGATTTCTGCCAGAA